GGGGGGGGGGGGGTAAAACACGAATGCATTGAGTTTGCTTTTCCTGGAAATGGTGTGTAAAACCGCATATTAAATAAAAGGAAGTAAACAAATAAATGAGGCAGATAAAAAAGAGTATCATGCATTAAATTCTCCTGATTCACAATTTGCCAGTTGTTTTCACCAGGCCGAGTACTTATAAATAGGTATTACCGTGTTCTGCTCGGATTGTGAAAAGCTCAGCAGCCTCCGTGGGATTCGAACCCACACGTTGGCGCTGCCTATGCTTTTCACATTTGAAATATCAATATTTAAACCTGTCCAACAACGCAATTTGAACAATACATTATCCGTCAAGTTGTGTGCCGGACAGAGGAGATATGTGACTCTTTGGTCTCGTCAGATGTACTCACCTTTCCCTGGCCACATTCAGTCCCGTCCAGCAGTCCATGATTGAGCATTCGGTCACACTGGTCCACGGAACCGGTAACAGAACACCACAGTTCTTGACAAGCATGTTCTTCAACCTTTGGGAACAGACGTCATGTGTGACGAAAGGAACCAAAAAAGGAAAAGGATACAAATAAACGAGGAATACCGAAATAGTATCATCCAGATAAATGATAACAAAAGCTCGTGTAGCTGAGACATATTCTGTTCACTGTTTGTCTTTCGTGAACGGTTTCTCATCTTGCAATCCATATCTGTATTTCAAAGGTCAAAATTTATTGAAATAATATGAAAAACAGTTAATTCTATATACTGGAAGACTAACTCTATTGTTTTTGGCTGCTGTCGAGAATCGCCAACTAACTCTAACCAGGTGCGAAAAATAAGGCCTAGATCATAACCGGCCGTTTTATGTCATACTGTTCATTAGGTACGACTTCTGCCCCCTCCCCCGCCCCGTGATAGCATGTAAATACTGACGTGAATTATCCCAACAAGATATATTAAGCATTTTACTATCACTGAAATATCGCTCCCGACAAAAGTGGACCATTGTATTTGACGCTGGACTGGACACCAGTTCAAAGAAACAACCTGCCCCGTCTCTTTGTACGCCGGTTTTTATCGACAAGAGCTTTTTTCAATGTGTGCTCTGTACACACTGACTGTTCTGTTCAATTAAAACGCCAGCACCTCTCCTCCGTCTTTACCTACTGGTCACCTACATTCCAGTCTCCACAGGACGTTTTATGGCTCTTGTCAATAGTCCTCTCACTATTTTAAAGGTAACTACCAGGCCTCCTCTCACTTATCAATGTTCCAGCGAGAACAGATTACGATCCATAAATCACTGGTCATAGGTTTTTCCTCTCTGCCCAACTACTTTTAGGGTAAAAGGACGTTGTACTTTTTCCTAACGTGACATCTATATACCCTGGAAACCATGCCGGCACAGAATGTTGTATGTGCGGAATAATAACTCCTGGATTTCTGCAGGTAATCGTGGCACACAACCCAAAAAGTTCACCACGAACCCTATTTGCTGCCTTCAGGCATTGTACTTCGGGTTTGAAGCTTTTCATAACAATGCTTCCTAAATCCTTTACTATCCCTGAGTGTTGCAGTGGTTGCTGTCCGTCCAAGACTATGTCAACACTTGCTATTAAAAGTTGAAACTTTTCAAGGTTCGGTGGCAAGTCCCACACGTTGACCACCGTCTAACCACCTTTATTTTGTCCTTCAGACTTATTCCTGCTACTTTCACATTAATCACAGACATGAAACAGGGGTTTTGGAAACCCCGTGTCGAGTCGCTGATATAAATGAAAAAGTAGTGATCATAGAACTGAACTTCGAGGAACCTCCGCTAGCTACCCTTGCAGGTTCACTCAGAAAATTTCCATCCCTTACATAGAACGTGTGACAGCCAGGAAACTCCACGACTTAATTTCTCGCTCCACTCCGAAGCCGTAAATCATGTAACTTGTTGTCCAATAGTGTGTGGCTGATCGAATCGAAGGCTTTGCAAAAGTCGGGGTAGCAGAATTCCATCTGCCGACGCCTTCTAGTGACCTCATCCAAAAAGGCAAACAGGTAAGTCAGGCACTATTTGTTTGCAATAAACCTTTATTGAGCTGGTGTGTATATATTGACCTTCTGTCTATACGTTCCAAGCATTGCAAAGAACAAATATGAAGCCAACCGGCCAGTTGTTTCACTGCGAAGACAACTGAAAGATAAACTGGTTCTTCCGGTTCAGCGATATCGGACGCGGATACGTCAAACGCCTAGTTGTAGACTCAAAGCAAGTAACCAATTACAGATGCTTATCTGACAGGCCGTTGTGAATTAACGGATCGCGGGATTACTCAGAGCATGTTTTCTCACTTGACATAATTATTGATAGCATTTCTGCGTTCCGTAGTATGCTGAATTTTCATTACTTTATCTAGTGGAGAGTGCAATTAAGATGTGTTGCATCAAAACACCATAACGAGTCTTGTTCTAACGGAACTACTGGACGGAAATGTAGACCGTCCCTGTCATTTGTCCTGCCCTTTATATTCAGTTGTAGTATGCGAGACGCTGATACGTCAATCATGACACTCGCAACAGTTGGGACAGTTCTGCTATTCGGCACAAAGACTTGATCGTTACGAAAACAATATAAAGATTAACACTCTGTGTTCGAATACCGCTGCCTGCGCCACATGGCACAAGTTTGGTGGGGAAACCGGACGAGCAATCCTGAGGTTAAGCGCTGGGTTTCAGATAACCACGGTCACCCACAGGAGCAATGGTCAACCTCCATAGGCTATGTTGGTTGGGGCATGTGTTACACATGTCTCCAAATAGACTGCCTCGGTGCATGCTGTTTTTTGGGGTGGATGGTGGATGGAAAAAGTAAAGGGCGGTCAAACTAAGCTCTGACTTGAGGGTATGAAAACAATGACCAGGAGACTTGCTCACATTTGTCGCGATGGGCTTCCTGGATGGGGACCTTGTGATCAGCCCAAGCGACGATGAGAAATACAACGAGGGATAGGTCTGAGTGTTACGAACAGTGGCACTGATGCATCTATTCAATGTCTTCGCAATTTCAGAATTCATAAGTTCCTTGTTTTCACCATGACAATAATTTTAATATTTCAATCTTCCATTTACTTCTTCATCCAATTGATGCAGTAATGAGACAGTAACCAAAACTGGACCATGAAAGTGTATGGTTAATGGTTATAAAAACCGAACCAAACTGAGTAGCACTGCATTCGGGACGCATGCTCCCTAGTTCAGCCGAACACCAACACTCACCCCGGGACAGTGACGACTGGTATTGGAACCGGAAAGTACGTGACATTGTTGGTCCAGATTCCAATGCTTTCCGAATGCCTCTCGCAGTGCAAATCGATCCTCTTCGACAGGATAATCTTGCAAGCAATCAAATTTGTGCGAACTGGAACAGGCCAAAAATGGAACATGTAAAATCCTGAAAAGCATGAACATCCAACTGATGGGGACAAACCGATTCCATGATTACACCATCAGTTCCTTAGTTGTGGAAATTTTTCATTATGTACAAATGTATATATATATATGTATGTATATCACGGAATATGCCGGTTGATTAAGAACACAGTGTATACAAAGGTGTATATATAAAGGAAAAGATGAGGGTTGTACAGTTTGCGGGAAGGAGAATAATCTACCTACAAAGCTGTGTTTTCACTATACATTGTAGGATGCTTTAATGGGACATGGGGTTTCACCATGTAGACCGCACAGCGTTCGCGCCACCGACTTCCACTCGGGCCAATGTGTCGCAGCGTCTGGAAGGCGGGCTGTACCAATGGAAGCCAATGCTGAAGTTAAATTCTTCCTTCGCCCACTCTAAGTTATGGTTTGACTACCACGACGTTTCTTCCAGCCTTGTCCAACCATGTGAAGGGAGAACAGGGAAGTAAGCGATAGGCAAGCATTCATAAAATATGACCGAGCCATCGGAGGCAGCATAGAGTATTTTCCTCTTGCATAGAACGACTAACATCACCCAACTTAGGACGATGAACTATTTGATTGCTGAACCAATTCCCCCACCAGATGCGAGCAGTATTTCGACGACATCGGGTATCGAACACAAAATACCGATTAGCCTCCTCAACGCCGAGGAGACAGGGTCGAAAGATCAAATTTAAGTCAAAACAGGTGTAAACAGGGCATCAGCTCCGCAATTCTCAATCAAATTAAGAAGAAGGCAGAATGGCAGCAGCGATGGTCATGTACAACGGGTAGTGTACAACGAACGGTCAGACCACAGAACAACGATTTGCCATCGTTAGTTCGCACGGGCTGCATGCGATTGTGAAAAAAATGGATGATCGACGAACGGGCTCAAGTAGCATGTGAACTATGAACGTATGGGGTCTGGATCAGCAGTACGAGGACAGGATACGGTATTTCAACAGAAACGAGATCTCCAAAAATGCGCACATCACTTGCGGCTGGGGAAATAATTAAACATAACCGCGAGTGCAAGCACAACCGGAATCATAGAACAAAGCATAGGTTTGTCAAGCGGAAGTGGGCTGTTTATATGTATAATCAGCAAACAATAAGATCAAGGGAACAACCAAGTGCTATGAGAACAAAGTGGTTCTGGCGTGGAGTCCCTGAACGGAACACCAGCTTGATAGTGCAAACCAGCTTACGATCCCAGTGAAGACATTTGACTGCAATACCATCGACGCTCTCTGAGTCAAAAACGCTTTCTCCAAGGAGGAGTTCAGCTCCATCATTTGTTAGACTGGTCAAAGTATTCTCAATGGTAAATTTCAAAATAACTAGGGACACAGCTAGCTTGTTAAATCGATCACTAGTACCGTACCCATATTTGCGACTGACATCTTTTTCCATCAAACCCAACACTGCATAAATGAACACCAAAA